GAGTCTGTTGATTAACATAAGATGGGAACCCTTGATTCTGTCACTCTGAAGGTCAGATTGCACATCGTGCTAGAGGTCCAAGTCTAATGTGATTTTTAATTGAACTGGGGGAAAGGGTCTGCACATTTTATTAGCACTGGGAGGTGGGAGTATCTAATTACATTCCCTCCCTGGTCACCTACCTACCTACCTTTCTTTCCTTCCTTCCTTCCTTCTGAAGGAACTATTTTCAGCTGCTCCTAGGGTTTAAAAAAGTTATCTGTATTTTCCGCACCCCTGTCCACAGCAGTCTACTTAGGATGCAGCTCAGGTTCATAAACTGGTGGGGCTGAGTGTTTGTGGAGGGATTCAGGTTATTATGCATTCCATAGTGCTATTGATCACTGATCTCCCTTCCCATGTGTTTTTTGGCTCTCAAAGATAAAATGAAAAATTGGAATGTCTTCTGTGTTCTTGGGATGGGTGCTGAATACCAAATTCCTGGCACTGAGGCTTGGCAGTGTCCTTTCTGTTGGGCTTGGGACCTGTGCCAGTCCGATACCACAGTCAGCAATTATTTCATCTGGGTCTGCCACAATAGCACCTGACTCAAAATAGCTTTCCACTGAGAGGGAGTTCGACCAGAGTGACCTAGAGTGGAGTTGTCAAGTGATAGGTGCCAATCTATAGTCAGCTTATTAAGCCAACAGGTCTCTCTGCTCAACCTTCACTCAAGGAAGAACACGCAGGCTGTTTGCGTCTCTTTAGCTAGAAGGCTTTTCATTGTTTCTGCTGTTGTGACGTTATGGGGCTCACTGAGCAGGAATGGCAGAAGGTCATGGACATCTGGGCTAAAGTGGAACCAGATCTCTCTTTGCATGGACAGGAAGTTATCATCAGGTAAGGAGAAACTAGGGATGGAAACCTGAGCAGCAGCATTCCCGAGAAGCTGGCATGGTGGTGCTTTAAGAATCTGCTTGGTGTGTGGCTCAGAGCTAAACATTACAGAGGCAGAAGAGAAAGAGATGCAAACTTGCCAATAAACTGGAAACTATTTTAATTTTGTTTTCCTCAATTTTCATTAACTTCTTTATTAGATAAGCCCTTGGAATAAAGTCTTCCAAAGGAGTTTGATCTGTGGTTGAATGAATGATTAATAAATGATAAAAGAGAGGTAAGCGCTTTTCCTTCTTGCTGAATTAAAGTACTCTCCATCCACCCCTGAGTGGGCACAAAACTATGCTGACCTAAAACTTGCTGCCCCTCTGGCCACGTCTTGTCCTGCCTTTTCTTTTGAGTTCCTGCCAAATGGGGTTTGCTGATAATGATTCCGGTCATTATAGGCAAGGTGTCTTTTCCTCTTTGTTTGTTTGTTTGTTTGTTTTCAAGCCCCTTCAGTGCATCTCCAGCCAGCAAGGAAAACACCAACTGATGAGGGTGCTGCTGCAGGAAATGTGTGTGTGTGTGTGTCTGACTTCAGGACTCTGCCTGGGTTTATCTGCCATCCCTAATGTTTGGATATGTCACAATTTAAAATAATGTGAAATAAAAAGCCATAATGGAAGATAACAGGGCAGAAATAGCTCCCAAAAGGAAAGGAGACAGTCCATGTCATGACCATGCAACTAACTGGGCAACCAACTTCTTACTTCAGTTGCTGGAAGAGAGACTGAAAATGGCAAATATGGGAACACTAACCCTAACAAGTAACAAATGCCCAGTTAACATTATTATTCTCTGGACAATACAGCAAGACAAAAATGAGTCTGCTCTACCTAAAGGAAAAGGTATGTTTCAAAATGCTGTTAACATAAATTAAGGCAAACATGCCTCCTCTTTTTCCCCAAATAAAAGAGCAGCGGTCTGTTCTGCTATCCTCTCCATCTTTTGGGAAACCTAGAGAGATGTTGGTGTCAAAAATAAGGAAGATAGGAAATGATGGGCATGAAAGGAACCTAGGAAACATACACAATGCTAATGGAGAGGGCAAAACTTGGGAGAGAAAAGATTGTATCTTGAAACTGGCTTGTGCTCAGATGGGAACCCACCCATGATTCTCAGTATTTCCAAACGACACCTCTGCTCAGCTGACCTCACTTTCAGATTTCTCCTTCTCCTGTACAATTTGGAACAACAGTAGCAGCACAGATAGGCAAGATTTGGGGTAACAGCAATAACAGTTGGAGGAAATCAGTAGCAGTGGTAAACACCAGGTGTTGGGTCAGAAAAAAATCTCAACACACAACATCACAACATCTGGCTTGTGTGTTTTTCTACCCCCTGGCTTAAAGTGACACAAGTCAGGGAGATCAGATATGAAATAGAATAGGATGGACACGTTTGGCTTTTCCATTGATGGATGTGGCTCAATCCACCAAACCTCTGATTCTTCACCAGCTCCACAGTGGTTGTAAGCCTGACCATATCATTGTTCATAGTTGACTCCATATCACAAATTCCAATACATTATAAAATTTGTTAGCAGCTCTTCATTTGTCTATTTATAGCTACCTTCTGTTTCCTCATCTTTAATCACCCACTGATCCATAAGAAATTAATATCTGACATTTATTTTAGATATTATTTACAAGACAGCTTAGATATGGTGACAATATAGCTAACTCTCTGCCTAGGAGATTGCTGCGTCCCTCTAATGAAAGGAAATATTGAAAGGAAAAAAATAGAATGCATGTATATGAGGCCAGGCAAAAATTACCAGCATGATACAATAAGTAGGACACTTTTCTCCAATCTGGGTGATCTCCAAATGCATAGACTTCAATTCCCTAAATTTTCAACAATAATCTCTGACTGGAGAATTCTTGAAGTCTATATTTCTGCACAGCACCCAGGCTGGGAGAGACTATGATGAGTTGTACATAAGTATATAATCTAACATATTTAGGCATGATCACATATATTGATTTTGATGGTCTCAAGCATGCTTAACATTATAGTTTTAATCAAAATTATGTGCAAAAGTTACTCTCTGCTCTGATCCATAATCCTACTGAAATTGCTTTTCAAATCTATGCAGCTGCTCTCTTTTAATTTTTGTTGAGGTCTGAAATAAGTTGTAGACTGAAAAGGTGAACATTTCTCTTTTAATACTTAGGGGCTGAGATCATTTTAAGTTGCAGGAGAGTCACATAGTTCTGTTTGAATGAGTTTCTAAAGATGGAAATCCCATCCTCTAAGGATCCAGTGAAAGGGTAACTCATAACTTTTGCCAACTTACTATACTACCTAAGTAATTTGATACTTATGTAAGCAGGCACTATATAACTATCTAAAATGAGTTTATAGGCTTAATTGATATAGTGACTATAGGTGGTTGAGGACTCAGCATCACTGACTTGCTTCTTCCTGAGTTTCTCAATGTAATTCACAGGATGTTCCAGAACCATCCTGAAACTCAAGAACGCTTTGTCAAGTTCAAAAATTTCAAGACTCTGGATGAGATGAAGAACTCAGAAGAACTCAAGAAACACGGAACCACTGTCCTCAATGCTTTAGGTAAAATCCTGAAACAGAAAGGATCCCATGAAGCAGAATTGGCACCACTGGCACAGACTCATGCCAACAAGCATAAAATTCCGGTCAAGTATCTAGAAGTAAGTATGCACTTGGCATGGGTGATGGTGCAACCTTGTACACCCAAAGAGCTAATTAGCAAGCAGAAAAGGAAAGGCTTGTATTCTGAGTATGTGTAGGCCTGCTTGCTAAATTTTAGAATGGATATAGGAAGTTTTGGTGTAATAAAAGGGCAATTTAGAAGAATAATGTTCCTCTGCTACTGTTGCTGGTCAAAAAATCTAATTGCAAATAATGCAAAGGTAATCTTTTAAGGGAAAGGTAATCTTTTAAGGGAAAGCAATTAATTCTTTTTTTGTCACCAGTCTATGATATTACAGCAGGTGGCAGCATCCAGTTGTCCTTGGTTGATCTCAAGGCAGTGTTGTCCAAACTTGGCCACTTTAAGATGAGTGGACTTCAACTCCCAGAATGGCTGGCTGGGGAATTCTGGGAGTTGAAGTCCACTCATCTTAAAGTGGCCAAGTTTGGACAACACTGCCTTAAGTGAAGCAGGCTCCTACTGGGTTAGCACCTAGATGGGGCAGCTCCAGAAAATCACAGGGTAGAAGACTAGACTGGGAAGTCCCAGAAGAAGGCAATGATAAATGCCTTCTTTCTGCATCATTGCCATTCAAGAAAGCTATATGAACATACCTATAAAGTCAACAGGAGTCAAAGGAGACTTTACCTTTTAAAATATTGTAGGTCCAAAGTTTACTGCTAAGGCAAAGAATCTGTGCATTATTTGCAATTAGACTTTTTGACCAGCAACGTTAGCCCAGCTATGACTCTATAAAATTGAAAGAGAAGTAAATATGTCAGGCCAGCTGCTACACCATATAACCTAGTAGTGGCTGCCCGTACCCTGAAGCCTTGTCCCCAGGAAGATAACATTTATATGGGTTTTCCAAGCCTCAGAAAGATTTTGGCAAAATTTGTTGAGAAATCATTGCATGATCTCAGCTGCCAGTAGCTATTGCCAAATAAATGCTAACTATAGATTACCCAATTAGAGAATGGACAATGCAGCCCCTCTCTTGATTGAAGTTGCTGCCCTTTGATTAATAAAAGAAGAGAAGAAACAAAAAAGAGGAAGGGCCAAGGAAGGGACATATAGCTCTAGTTTCTAGTAATTGAGTAGCAGAGGAACATTCATCCTTGTCCAACAGAAGGCAGAGTAGTTCCAATTTGCTGCATAAAGGAAGCAGACCCCATCTGGTCGAACTGGCTCAATGCACATTTTGGGGGTTCAGCTAGCATGGTGTAGGGGTTAAATATTGGATTATAATCAAGGAGACTTGGGTTCAAGGCCACCATGAACCATAGAAGCTCCATTTTGGAGGGAAAAATAGAAGAGGGACTGTAGATTGGCTTTTGCTTCTGGAAAAAAGTCAGGATTTAAATCTAACAAATAAATAATAAACATATAGTGACACTACTTGAAAGATGCAATTCATTGTGAATATATTAAAAATTTGCCCTTGGATCATGTCCTTCACTGAAAATTATTGGCCCTTCCTGGAGGAATTTGCCAGAGGAAGAATTTAATTGATTTTGAGCATCACCTTTCTTTCCAATAGAATATGTAAAATATTAATACACGCATAGACATAAAATGCCCAATTAAAATCACCATAAAACTGCTAAAATGTTATGAAAACTAAGTCTTACTCCTACATTTCTTTCCCATACTGGATTAATGCAGGCTGTGTGAAAGCAACGTCAATAGGAAGGGTTTGCAATCTTTTGGAAAACTGTTCCAAAAGATAATAAAATATGGAAGCCTTTATTTTTCTTTTTTCTTTGACAAGGTTCAGTGGGCACTTCTTAGCTACCAGATTAGGAAGGAAGATCAGAGAGAGGAGGAATGTATGGCTCAGGCAGATGATATATTTTACAAAGCTAATTTAACTTCTGGAATAAAATTAATCACAACTCTAGTTAAGAAGAAATTTTTTTGCAGAAGTGTGAGCACTATGTCATGTATTATTCCCACTACAGAAAAAGGAAGAAGATACATATCTATTACTCTGCTTGAAAAACATTCTTAATGTGTTTCTACCTTTGAGTACATGGTGCAAATAAAAACAAATTTCTCCTAGCTCTGCAAATTCTCAAATGCCCAAGAGGTTCCAGAAGAATAGATACTTTGAGATACATACTCAAAATGACAAAAGACATTATTTTAATTGTGCTGGAAGACTTTCATTTTGGAGAAGAAAAGCCACAGAGGATCCCATCTGGGAAATGCTTCTAGCTGGATTAGGGATCTGTGCCAGTTTCTTCTCCTCATGGCTTCAATAGATAGCTCAGGCATAGTGTATGTATTTTAAGAAGTGTGAATACTTGTAGCATGCCCCTTATTTTGAAATGAATTCCACAGGACATAGAAGGGCTCCTAGACCTTGTTCTGGTGACCCCAATGGGGAAATTGCATGTATGAATGTCCTGCTGTAACTAAACCACTAAAAGGAGAATTAGGCTATGAAGCCACAAGGAACCTCTGAAGAAACATTTTAGACCCTGTCTCTTGGTCAAATGAATAATCCTTCCAGGTCCACTCTAATTGAACCTCATTGTAAGATATTATCTGTTACCTTAGATATGAATTATGCCACAGCTTCTCAACTCAGATATAGTGCACATATTCGAATACCTAATAATGATAATCAACAGGATACATTAATTGTTCTGGGGAATGGATATTGTGCCCTTGGCAGCCAAGAAGAGGCAGTGAAGCTGCTGTAGTATCACCACTGACCACAGAGGATGCAGCTGAAGGAAATGCATATTTCCTCATTCTTTCACACTAGAAAGAAAGAACTTTTCTCTATTTACCAATAAGCAGCCCTGGGACAGCAGTAACGTTAGTGGCTCTTGGCCAGTGAAGCAAAGCCTTCTGGATAGTGTTTGGTTTGGTTTTAATGTACCCTTTAATGTACCTACTCTTTAGAGATCATTTAATTCAAATGCAAAGAATGCATGAGGTTACAACATGCATCTCTTCAGTTGTTAATTAACTACAAATCCCAGCAACTTTCATATCTCCTGGGAATTGTAGTTTAGCCCATCCTCCACTATGATACCCAAGAGTAGAGGAGGTGTATCGCTGCAGTATCTAGAGGGCCTTGTACCTCCCTCCCACCAGTATTAAAATATTTTAAAGTATGGATGAGTCAACCTTTGAACTAGATCTGGGACACTTACAAGTTAAGAGAAGAAATGTTAAGTATTTATTATTTATATTTGCTCCTTTCTTGCCCTGACCAAGGTTAACATAAAACTATCATGTTTCCTGCTTTGATATTTGACATTTACTTGACATTTTTAGCACTCTCTCACTTTCTTTCTCTCTCTCTCTCTTCCCCCCACCCCCTCCCCCCCCCCCCTTTCCTATCCCTGCCCTTATTTCTCTGTGCCACCATCAATTCTTCTTGTATAGTTTATTTCTGAAGTCATCATTGGTGTCATTGCTGAAAAACATTCTGCAGATTTTGGGGCTGATTCTCAAGAGGCAATGAGGAAAGCCTTGGAGCTGTTCCGGAATGATATGGCCAGCAAATACAAGGAGCTTGGGTTCCAGGGCTAGTAAGGAAAGATGTTACCACTGAGAATACTTAGTGTGCTTAGGTGTGTGGTCAGTTTAGGAAAATATTTTCATCTCGTCACCAGAATAGCTTGAATAAGTTGAATAATGCTAATGCTACGCTTGAGGGAGGCAAGGTATGTTGTTCAAAATCTCTCTACCTTCTGCTGTGGCCACACTGGCTGGTAATTATGGGAATTAAAACCAATACTTCTGGAGGGCATCAATTTGGGGAAGGGTGTCTTAGGGAAAGAGAGTGGTTTAAAGAGCCAGAAAGGTGTAGGTGGAGGGAGTGGATATATAATAATTATGCCATTTTTTAGTTCAGTGGCATGTCCCTCAAAATCCTCACCTGCAGCCAGGTTCTGATACCAGAAAAATAGGAAGGGGAGCAGAACTGGGGAGCAGATTCCATACCCATATTCATGGCTCATTGATTTAAATCAGACCTCTCTTGGGGTGGATAGCCATCAGCTCCAGTGTTGCATGCACCCCAGCAAAGGATTGGATGTGGCATCCATATCCCCACCAAAGTTAGCTACTAATTATAATTTTTTTATATGAAAGAAGGAAAAAATATTAAATATACAGGGACTAATTGTTCTCTGTGTAATTAATTGAATTAAAATTGTATTAAATTTAGAGTTGCTCACTTTTGGGAGTATGGTTCTGGTACTACTGAAAGATCAAGTACATTCTTTCATCTAAAAACAATTCTATGCTCCTGCTGCAGCTTTAAATAGGATGGAAAGCTTGCCAACTTCATGTGTAGCCTGGGTTATCAACTGAGATTCCTTTTGATCTTCAGCACAAGTCCTCATAAATGTTGTCTTAAATAAATATTAATTATGTATAATAAAAATTTAGACAGCTGCATGCACTCTTTACATATTGCCTAGTCCATGAATGGCTCCATGATGACATATTAGTAGTCAGAAACAGATAAGAAAAATGAAAAAGTTATTCAGAAAGGTGAACGAAGATGAGGTTGCTAGTTCCTGACTGGGATATAGCATAACGTACTGTTCAAATTATTCTTGAATAGCAAGTCATATCTGATTATTCCTGTGTCGACTTTACAAGGTAATGATTTTCCTCTCACCTGTACAAGCAAAGGTGGGTGAGGCATGTGAGTGTTTCTATTGGCTATGGCCAAGGTAAAACTGCCAATGATTTCATGAAATCAAAATCTAACAAACCCATAAATCAGTAATTTTCAGAGTGTAGTTTATGGATGAATGGTCCATGGAGATTCACCTGGTGATCCACCACAACCTTCCCATGTTCATAGAGCAGAGCCAACTCATTGCTTCAGTTTCACTTTTCCCGAACACCAAGGGATAACTGGTGAGAACCCACTTCCCCCCTCAGCCCCTGACTCTCTGTGCCAACAGTCAGATGGTTAAGGTGTTAGACTAGGAGCAGGAAGCCTCAGGGTCTAGTCCATCCTGAGCCATGGAAACTCTCTCAGCCTATCTCACAGGGTTACTGTTGTGAGGAAAATAGGAGGAGGGAGAACTATATATATTACCTTGAACACCCATAGAAAAGGTGGTACTTAATAAATGTAAGTACTAAAATTCAGAAACTGACAAGAATGAACAGGTCCCAAGTCCAACTACTAATTGCTTCTTGAATAAGCAACCTCTGTCTCCAAAATGCAAACAGGAAATATTATGATGAATACCTAAAAATGGAATTGCATTGAACTGAATATCCCCTTGTCCCTAAAACTCATTACTATTTTATGTTTGGTGGATACTAAAACTAAGAAAATGTCCAACTACACCTCTTGGAGAAAGGAGTCAGGTACAAGTAGGTATGTTCCACTCTGATCCATGCTTGGATTAATATGTCATGTGAAGGCCTCAGAAACCAGAGGAAGAAAATGGTGTCTGCATTGGAATCTTTGACTAAACAACTCTTCCTATTGCTTTGTGATAGACTTGCCTGTTGGATCATAGTTAGAAATGTGAAAGCTTAGCAAACAAAGAACAACCAACAACAATGAAGGTTTTTTTTTATATACATACATATATAAAAGAGGTTTGTGGATGTCCCCTTCACAAAAATGGTTTTGTTTTTCAAAACAAAATAGTTTTGTTTTCTCCATTTTATACCTCTAAGAATGTCATGTTTTAATGGGCATTATTTAATAAAAATGGCTGTGGAAGGGCTAGAACCCATGTAATGTCAGTTGTCATGCATATATTTTAATGAAAGCAAAATAATACAAAATTAATTAGAGTAGCTGAAGATGATGGGCCTTTGGTCCCAATAGTAACTTGGGTGAGCTACCTTTTGAAAGAGGTCTCTAAGGCTTTCAGATATTTTGTAGTAATTGCAATTATTTAAAAAAAAGTATGATGAACATAGATGGAAGCACAACTTAACAGTCTACCAGATAGCTATAGTTCAGTGATCCCATATCAGATTCTTTAGGGAAACATCCAGAACTCTTAAGATGCTCACATTTCATATTCTCACTTCAGGAAAGACTTTGGAGGTTTCATAGATCTCCAAGAGCCTCATAGGGCTGTTGTGAAGAAGAGTATGGGGTGAAACATCAACATAAACTGCAGAATGGTTCCAAAACTTCAAACTATTGTTACAGGGGTTTTGGTAGTACACCTTTCATCATTTCTAATTATTCCAAAATCCTTGGCATTTCACACAGAAGGCCATTCATATTATTAAGAGTTCATGTCTTACCCTTGAAGGTGTTGGAGGGGAGATTCAGTAATAGTCTATATTCTGAGAGCCTCTATCCATGTTTGGATAAAGCCATCAAGACAGTTTTGCATATCTTGTCCTGCTGACCCTTGTACCATTCTTGATACTGTGTTAATATTCACCTCCTTTTGAATATGGCCTGAAATAGAGCTTGTCAGCTCTCCTAGTGGTTTGCTCTACTGAAATTTCTATGAATGTTGTTGAATTCTGCTCAATTGTGACTGCTTTCAGAAAGTGCTAGGTTAATTATGCTTAGGCTTGGAAGGTTTGGTTACCTATGTGAAGGCCTAGAAGGTCAATAATTGTTAATGTTTGCCACCATCTCCATCTCCCCACCATATTAATCCCCCCTTAATATATATTATTATATCTGTGTTTTCTTTTGATTGTTGACTACAAACTCAATAAAAAACTTCAAGAAATAAGTATTTGTTTCCCATGTCAGTCCTGGATTCTAATATCTGTAACTGTTTGCCATGCTGGCTGAATATACTTGGAGGGTACCAGATTAAAAAAAGGCTCTGCTAGGCCTCTGTCGCACAGTTTCTTTCCACTTTTTAAACTGGCAAGAGTGGCCTATGCAAGTTTTGTTAATTTTATTGCTATTCTTGGAAATATTTGTACCACCAGTAGCCATTCAATCAATACACTCATGTGAATGACTGCAAAATGACTGATTCTGTCATTTAAACCATTTAAACTATAAGAAGTTTAAACCTCTCAACCTCTTAAAAACCTCCAGAGATGTGCAAGACTATTACATGACCAAAAATGGGAAGACTCTGAAATACCCACAATGGAGGATGGTTGGTGAAGTTGATGGAATTAGCAGAGATGGCAAAATTGACTTGTTTGATTAGGGAAAGGACAATAACTACATTTATTAGTGACTGGAAACCCCTTCTGAACTTTTTGTTGAAGAAAGAAAAAAATGAACTTGTGATTTTTGGGTTTGAGATTAGAAAGGGTAGACTATGGAAGGAAGGAAATTATGATGTGATCTTAGAAAGGGTAAATTATAAATGCATTTATAACTGCTGTTAAGATCAGAAGCCACTTCTTTATAACTTTTTCTTTCTTTTCTCTTTTCTCTTTCCTTTATCTATTCACTATTTTTCTTTCTTTCTTTTCTAAAATTTTACTGTTTTCATCTTATTAAAAATGTCTTTGATTATAATAAAAAAATCTCCAGAGATGGAGAACTCCAGTTCCCACAGGAAAACTATTCCACCGTTTGAAGGTTTTCTTCATATGTAAACGAAATCTAGGTAGCTGCAACTTCTACAGTATCTGTTATTCTGGTCCTAGTTTCTGTGGTCATAGAAAATAGTTCTTTACTATCTTCCTTGTAGCTTTTCTTTATATACCTGAATATCACTACCAAGTTGCCCCTCCGTTGTCTTTTTCCATACTGAACATCCCAAGTTCCCTCAGCCTGTCCTCATAGGACACGTCTTTAAGTCTCTGTTGCCTCTAACCTGTCAGTATCCTTCTGAAAATGTGGTGCCCAGAATTATACACAGTACTCTAGGTATGGTCTCACCAGTGCAGAGTAGAGAGGAATAAGGACTACTTATTTCTTCATTTGTTTGTTCATTTGATTTATATAGCTGCCCATCTCACTTTTACGTGGCTCTAGGCAGCTTCCTGTATCTTTGACACAATGCTGCTTCTACTGCTGTCTAAAACTGTGTTAGTTCTTCTAGCAACTGTCTCACATTTACACAAGCGTCCTGATTGTCTTCTGGGACTAGCTACTAGTGCCATCTGCAGGGGGAGGCAGGTGGGCAGAATGAAAGAAGCAGAGCAATGCCATCATGACACAAACCCCACTCTTTTGTACATGTGTTGTGATACACAAACGTGTATGAAGGGGGCAGAGCTTGCGGCATGCCGGCATGAAGCTGCTTCTGTGGTTGTGACAAAAGCAGTATGGTCCTGCACATGCCCCCACTGACTGCTGTTGTCTCTTAGAGAGTCTTTGGTCTACCTGTTCTCTTCAAGGTCAAAATGGTGTGTGCTTGTATGTCTAGATCACAGTTTACTTTTAATCACAACATTACCTTAATAGTTGCCTTTTTGCAGGAAGTACTAGAATGAAGACCACAGAAGGCTTGAATATTAGAGCTTAGGCTGGTTTATAAACTTTGAAGATGCTATACTCTTTACAGGCAGGCAGGCAGGCAGGCTTTACATCTCTCTGAATACTTGCATTCTGGAACAGTTTATGTTGGTTAGATTTTGTGGTTTCCCATTGATCAACACTGATTTAAATTTGTTCAGAGTATAATCTATTATTCCAGATTTCTATGACTGCTGAGAAATTATGGGGTTTTATCTCCACCCTAGGTTGTATGTGTTTCTTGAGTCGTACCAGTTGCTAGAGAAACATTGCCTGACATAAAAGCTCACCATTGCCTGCCCAGCGTAATACTGCTCCTGCACGAAAGGACAACGGCTGCCATGGAAGCAGGACTGGGCTTGCAAGTGAGCTAAATTCTGCACCAGCAGCAGTTGCTCTTGTCAGTCTCAGCTGAATAGTAGCCATGTATAGAAAGTACAGTACATTAAGAATACTTTATAATATTATTGCAGGCAGGTTTGCTTCTGGTTTTCCTGTTGCGTAATAGGGAGATTGGCAGCTGGTTAGTCTATTCTTTGTCCCTCACACCTGCAAACCCAGGGCTGAACAAACTATTATGTTATTTCAAGCTATTTTTTTCAGGCCATCCAACATTTTTGGAGAGCTGAAGACCATAAAGGGAGTATAGCTGGATCACACCTGTCTATGGGGCCAGAAGTTTCAATGTTTCCCCCTTCTGAGCTTGGTGAGAGAAACAAAGCATTCTCTTTGTTTTTAAAACTGCTGTGCTTACTTGATACTAGTTTTGGGGCTTTTTCTACCTTCAAATGTGGAGGTGCCATGTAGATCTGGAACTACTGTTTGTCTACCTGCAGTACAAGTAGTCAAATAAGCCTTCAAATCCAGTAATGTTTTATAAGCAAAGGCTCCTTACCTTTAGATAAGATATATTCATGACTATTGAATATATGACCAGCTCATGTCATTCTAATTAGCATTAGAATTATCCATTAACTTATGCTAGGGTTAGCAAAATGTGATCCAAGCAATTTTATAAATAAATAGCTGCAACGTTGGGGAATTATATAAACCATGGAACTGTTGGAATCTTGAACTTTCCAGCAGGAGTAGAAGACAGAAGAGTTAAAACCCTGCCCCTGTAGTACTGTTCAATTCCAAACCTCTCCCCACCCCCAGTTGCTATTTAATGTTTTGATAAAAAAAAAAAGATAAATGTATTATCTTGGTTGGCCTGGAGAGATTTGGTGACCTTCTCCATCTTCCAAGGGGTGGGTGGTTGCAACACCACTTGGAATGTGAGCTTGAGGAAGGCTAGGATCAAATAAATGCCCCATTCCAAAACTATTTCCCCCTCCCCGCTCTGTAGAAAACAAAGTTGTTGAGTAAAAATAAATTTAATAATCTGCAGCTGTTTTGGCAGTAACCATTTGTAAAGCAGGAGTTAGAGATGAAAGATTAGTGATCAGATCCACTGTAGGGTGCCAAACTTTTCTATGTGACAAGCAAATGCGGCAGATGAAACTTGGTCTGGTGTGCAGCTGATATAGAGGCTTGTCACAGGAGTCTTGGCAGAAAATAAAAACAAATACTCGCCTAGAAGGTTGATTCCCCTGAGAAATGTGATACTGTGTACAGTGTATCAAAACTGGAGTAAAAGGCAGAGGTGAAGGATGCTCCAGAGGGAGCAAAGGATCCTTGAGGGGGATCCCAAAAGGCAAGAGGGCAGCTTCGATTGCATGGTCCCAGGTGCCCTCTTGACTTTTTTGGCAGCTCCTTGTGCCTCCCCCCGAGCCAATGGAGAATTTATTGTCTCTTGCTGAAGAATCAACGACCTGATTTTCCCTCAGATATGTTGGAACTACACCTTCCAGAATTTCTAATCAGCATGGCTGTTGACTTTTTTTGTTGGGAATTCTGGAAATTATACTTCCAACATATCTTAAAAGCACCAGAACTGGGTTTTTTATACAATTGTTGTCTGTTGCCTCATCTGATGATTCTGACTGAGGGAAACTGCACGTTTTCAACACACTGTGAAAAGATCTGACTCTCTTGACAGTTCTGGAATGCTGGGAAAGGAAAGAGAAAAAGAGGATAAGCAGTGGCAAGGTGGATGGACTTAGTTACTGCAGTGATGGGTGCACTGTTGGAAGACCTGAAGGACCAGATTGAGGACAGATCATCCTGGAGAAAATCTATTTATGTGGTCATTAAATGTTGACACTGACTTGATGGCACATCATAATTGATTGGCGTAGAATCATAATATGAGATTATGGAAAAGTAAAGTTTTACTTACTTAGATGATTTATATGGCTGCCCAAATTGCAACTCTGGGTCACTAATAGAAGTTTAAAGCCAGGAGCAAAATGAAAATAAAAAGCAACAAAAACAATACCACTGAGGTCAAACCACAGTCACATCCACATTCCCAAAATCTGTGCAAGTTGGGTTCATCCAACACTCTGTTAGCCTTCCATAAGGCCAAGTCTTCAAGGGTCTTATGGAAGGCTAACAGAGTTGGGGCCATCCAAATCTCAGGGGGTGTGCTATCCCAAAAGGCAAGTGCCACACAGTAAGGTGTTCTCTTCTCCACTTTAGTTGTGTTTTAGAGTGTGATCACATGACAAAGTGTGAAGGGATAAAGAGTTTGATTTCACAAGGTCTACGGACTTGACGTTTTGTGCAAATTTCAAAGCCTGAAATGTCAACCAATAATAGAATTCACCTTCATGCTGCCTAAACAAGTCTTAAAGGCCAATTTTCACATTAGTCTCTGCCACAGGAATTAAGGAGAACTCACTCAAAAACATGTTAGTAAAGAGAAGTGAAGTTCAGTTAGTGAGGAATAAATGAGGTTTGCTTCATTTAGAGAAAAGTAAATGCGTAATATAGATTTAATATAGATCAAATAAGGAGCTGACATCAAAAACAGAGGCTCAGAGTTTCCCAAGTATTGGCTTAATTTGATGACCATTCTCTCTCCTTGATGCTTGTTTTGGTGCTGCAAGATAACCACTTCCTTCCTGCAGCTTTGTTCACTCTTTGTTCTGAACTGATCCTTGAAAACATGCTAGGAGGGATTCATCCAATCTATGACCAGTTTGTGAGAACAGATGAATGAGTTAACTGGGTAAACAGATGTTATTTCAGAGTTGCAAAAAAAGGACGGAAGTACATGGATGAGGGATACATGTGAGCTGTGAATGGGGTTCAAAATGGATGCACATAACCATAAACCCCAATGTTTTTATCATGTTAGGGTCCTTTAATGAAGTAAAAACTTATATGAGTCTATGCTCTTAGGTCCCTGGATTATATT